AATCCCCCAGCACCACATGCCAGCCAGCCCCGCCCCCTGGTGGGCTGAGCAGGCCACACACACACACACACACACACACACACACATAAATGAATAAAATTTAAAAAAAATTCATTTTTCTGCTGTTTAGTGTTCAGCAAGTCAATAAAACAATATTCTAATCACTAAGACATCTCAATCTGGCCTTCAAAGTCCAGGTCATTTAATTGTTATAGTCAGAAACTTGACTTACTTTTCATTACTAAGTTTTATTTATTTTTTAAAAAGAATTTAGGACAGGGTGTACAAGGTCTTACTATGTAGATTGGACTTGCAGTGATTCTCCTGTTTTCAGCCTCCCAAACTCTGGGATTACAGGCAAGCGCCACCATACCCAGTCTCAATCTCTGTCTCAGTGCACCCCAGGGATGGGGCTGGCATGGCACACCAGAGTTCGAACCCCGGCCACTGTGTTCTGCCAAAACAGGCGCTTTAGTCCACTGAGCTATCTGGCTGGCCCTTACCAAGTTTTAGAAAACACAGCTATGTGGTTCAGGAGTCATTCTATAGTATCTGGAACATATGGTTACACAGGATTGGAGAGTTTAACTGGCTGGCTTACCTCTTTCTAGATATTCTTCCAAGCCTCGACGTCGGGCATCTAATTGTTGTTCTGATAATGAGAATGGCCACTTTCCTGGAAGCCGAGGAAACGTAAAGTTGGCAAACTCTCTTTTTAGGTTCTGGTGCAGGATGGCAAACTCTCGGTACCGCTTAGAACACAGCTGCCTCCCTGCCATATAAACATTGTATACCTGATGAGACAGAATAACAAAAAAGCATATTTAATACAAATCTAATCACAGAATCATCTAAAGTCTGACTCAGACAGATATACATTTATCAGAGACTGTTCAAGATCACTTTAAAACATGTCAATCCGTACAAAAGAGGACCATTAATTTCAAAGAGATTGCATAATTTTATTTATCCTAATAAAATTACTTCCAACACACTTTCAAAATCTTTGAAGATAATTACAGAGTCAGTTTTTTGGTTTTTTTTTTTTTTTTGTGGAACCAGGGATTGAACTCAGGTCTTGCACTTGCCAGGGAAGTGCTTATTCCACTGAGCCATCTCCCCGGCCCCCCAGGGTCAGTTTTTAAGGGTGGATTTTATTTCCAGAAAGCTATAAGCTTTTCAAAGTTAAAGTAGTAATCTAGTGAATGAATGAGCAAGCAAATAGGGAAGAAGATGAAAACCTAGGACGGATTATAAAGCAGTATGACAGGTGTGTATGTGTGGTCTAAACAGTTTCCAACATTAATTCCAAAGAAAAGCCTTACTAAAAGCTAGCATCTTGATAATAATTTAATTCAAACTTTATAGTCTTTGGCTCCATTCTATTTTCTTACTTCTTGGACCCCAGAAAAGCTGTATTAATCATGATTCTCTTGCTTTTCTTTTCGTCTTGAGAGGGCCTCATTATGTTGCCCACGTCCAGGCTGGATGTGGTGGCACATACCTGTAATTGAAGAACTGGGGAGGCTAAATAAAGTAGGAGGACTGCTGTGAATTCAAGGCCAGCCTGTGCTACATAGTGAGTTCAAGGTCAGCTTGAACTACATAGTGAGACCCTATCTTAAGAAAGAAAAAGAGGGGCTGGAGAGATGGCTCAGTGGTCTAAAGCACCTACTTGAATCAAGCTTGGCAAAGCACAGGGACCACGGTTCGATCCCCAGCACCACATGCCAGCCAGCCCCGCCCCCTGGTGGGCTGAGCTGGCCACACACACACACAATAAATAAATGTAATAAATAAAAA